TGGACGACAGGTTGACCATGAGCCAGCAGTGTGCCCTGGCTGCCAAGAAGGCCAGTGGAATCCTGGGATGCATTAGAAGGAGTGTGGCCAGTAGGTCAAGGGAGGTTCTTCTTCCCCTCTACACTGCCCTAGTGAGGCCCCATCTGCAGTACTGTGTCCAGTTCTGGGCTCCCCACTTCAAGAAAGATGAAGAGCTACTACAGAGAGTCCAGTGCAGGGCTACGAGGATGATGAGGGGACTGGAGCATCTCTCCTACGAGGAGAGGCTGAGAGAGCTGGGCTTGTTCAGCCTGGAGAAGAGAAGGCTGAGAGGGGACCTTGTAAATGGCTACAAATATCTGAAGGGTGGGTGTCAAGAGGATGGGGCCAAACTCTTCAGTGGTGCCCAGCGACAGGACAAGGGGCAATGGGCACAAACTGAAGCAGAGGAAGTTATGTCTGAACATGAGGAAGAACTTCTTTACTCTGAGGGTGACGGAGCACTGGAACAGGCTGCCCAAGGAGGCTGTGGAGTCTCCTTCTCGAGAGATATTCAAGACCCGCCTGGACAAAGTCCTGTGCAGCCTTCTCTGCATGACCCTACTTCAGCAGGGGGGTTGGACTAGATGACCCACAGAGGTCCCTTCCAACCCCTACCATCCTGTGATTCTGTGATACCACTGCTTATATAAATGAATTTGTGAATTAGGTTGAGAAGCTACCTGGTTTGTATGAAATCAATATTGATTCAGGACTAAAATGAAACTATATGAGAAGGACACCTTGTAGGACTGGATTTAGATCTAAGGGGGTGGATATTCCTTGGTGTGATAGTCTATATCAGCACTTAGTGAAAATACCGGGAAGTTGTCTAATGTGCTATGCTAGTACCAAGTGACTGTGTATTTATTCTGTATCGTTAAAAGCAGTATAGAGTTCCATCAGTTTCCTGGTTTACAGATGTGAGTTTAAATGATCATGACAGCATCACTCCTTTAAGGGTGTTCTCCTCAACAAAGGAGTGTTTCTTCTATTCCCCTGTTGCAGGTTATGGCAGAAGAAGAGTTGCCGGGCGTTTTGATTCTGGATATCGGAGGAACTCATGGTGTGCTAGAAAACCTTGCAGCGCTTTTGAAGAAACATTTTCACCTTATCACCATGAGGGAATTTCTTGAAAACAAAAAAGAATTGAAAAAAAAAATCCAATCTGTTTTCGTGTTTGAGTGCAGACCAACTATTGACCGGGAGCTTCTAGAAAGCCTGCCTAATTTAAAAGTAATTGGAAACTCTGGGGTTGGTGTCGATCACTTAGACTTGAAAATGATTTCTAAGTTTGGTGTAAAAGTGACCAACACCCCACGTGCCGTGGCGGACCCAACAGCAGACATAGGAATGGCCTTGATGCTGGCCTCTGCCAGAAGACTGGTGGAAGGTAATGTTTTAAATTTTCCTGGATCTTTAGCTACTTCTTTGGCATATCTCACTTTTACTATGATACGGATGATCTATCCAAATCAATATTTGGGATGCTTTTACGGGGAAGAATATTTCTGAGGACTCCTTGTTCAGAGGCCTCTGCTTTTCCTGTGTCCCGCTTCTTTTTAAGGCAATGGTGACAAGAGTAAGGCCTTTGTCTAAATTATGCGCTTTAAAGTCACTTGTGATATCCTGTTTGGAGTAATGTCTGGAGCTTAGTTCTTCTCTGGCTGTTCACTGGGTCGGTTGTTTACAGCTGTAAAAACTGAATACAAAATGCATCCAGATCAATGTCACCACTTCTCCATTCTCCCCTGGAACAAGTGTTATGAGCTACAGGAAGGCGCAAGGCATTAATGGCTATGTCCCCATCTCTAGAACAGTAATTAGTATAACTCTTTGCTGCTTGTATGGAGAGTTTGTCTAAACCAATCGGTTGTATTTCCAAAAGAGCATCAGCATTATTATTGAAATAGCTGATAATCCCTTTGACAAAGTTATTCCAAACTGTACCACCAACATTAGTTCGTGTTCTTAAAAGGCAGGTCCTTTCCCTATGTGTCTTTGCTACGCAATGCCTCACAGGGGAAGGAAGGTGTCAGTAGAGACTATCACAAGAAGTTGCCTCTGTCTTCGGGGACTCACAGTCTTTCTGTCACTGCTGCTCCACCCCTGAGCATGAAACAACACATCTTTCCCGCTGATGTTTTCTCACTATTGCATCTTGCTGCACCTCTAATTCTTTGTGTAAAAGGTCATAGAGATCCCTGGCTGAGCTGGAATTTGCAGCCTTCACACACGCTCAAGCAGTGGGGCTGCTTTGGGTTGTGATCCAGGACAGGAATAGTGAGATTTAACCCAGCTAAAAAAAGTTAAGTCAATGGTTGTTCAGTGGTAAGTGTCAAAGACGCCATTCTTGAACTTCTGAGAAAGTACTTCAGTCACAGAAGAATGAATTTCGCTGAGGAGCCACTCCTCCCTGCACAGTACCCACCCCGGAGCCCCCCCTGTGTTACTGGCTCCAGCCCTGCCTGCAGGGAATGGCACCACCCAGGCACTTCTATAAACTGGTCAAAATTAGCAAGGGTGTTTTGTAAGGGATGCTCCAGAGGACCACTGCTGTGATGGTGAGAAACTTTTTCTTTCCCCCAAACCTACGTTTATGGTCGGTTTGTGCCCATTGAGCGCGTATTTACATTCAGGCTGCCAGATTGCGGTTTCTCCAGAGACAAAGCATTTTGCTGTTGACTGGCTGGGAGTGGAACTAACCGGAGCGACGCTTGGGATCATCGGGATGGGCAGCATTGGGTACAAAGTGGCTCGGAGAGCCACAGCCTTCGACATGAGGATCCTGTACCATAACAGGAACCGGAGGTAAAAACGTCTGGTTTCTGCGTGTAATTAGTCAGGGGGCAGTGACAGAAGCCACAGCTCTGCTCTGTGTCCGCGGTCTTCCTAGGCACTTGTGGCAGTTGTAAGCAGCACGAGCAGCACCTGTGTGCCGACGTTTCCTCGCTCTGGCTCCCTGCTGCTCCCCTCGGGAAGCAGCTACCCCTCGCCTCATGCGCTCGCCCTGCCCTGCTGAGCTACTAGCAGTTTGGAACAAGGGCCGTGTAACCTTTCTGAAGATGTAGTCCAAGCAAACCAGGCCTTGTGCCCTTGTTGTGTCCCCTGTCCTTCCAGACTCCTGCAGGCTGCTGGCGATGTCCCTGCCCCACCCAGCCAGTCACCCTGCTCCTCAGCCCAGCCAGATCACTCATCACACCAGCATCTAGGACAAGGCCCTTGACTTCTCTTAGTGTTATAGTTCCCTTTCTTTCAGACTTCACTTCCCCTTCATTCCTTTTCCACGCCGAGTCCTAACTCACATGTCTGGCAAGGAGAGACTCTACAGGGATTAGCCTAGATGCAGGAGAGAAAGGTGGGGTCTGACTGCATCCCCAACCTCCTAGAACTAATATCACCTGTGTGTTTTGCTTTCACACATACATCACTCCTTCAGTGTCCCCCCACTCTTCTGGCTTCCTGCTCCTTCTAGTCCACATCCTTCCTGCCTCCCTTCCACCACCTGTACCTATGAATGTCTTTACCTTGGCCTCAAACCTCTCGATCTCTGTGCTGTTCCAGATCTCTCCTAGGGCTGATTGGTTGTTAAAGTTAGTTAGAAATAGTTGAGTCCATTTGGGGATGTGTGCATTTTTCCTTCAGAAGAAAGGAGGAGGAAGAGGCAGTTGGTGCCCACTACTGTGAGAAGATGGAAGACTTGCTGCAGCAATCTGACTTTGTTATGCTGGTTGTGAACCTGACTCCTGAGACTCACAAACTAATTGGGAAAAAAGAGCTGGAGCTGATGAAACCCACAGCTACTCTTATAAACATCAGCCGAGGTAGGATGATCTAGAAGTGCTCTTTGTGGCTCCACAGTTAAGGTTGTGTTTTGTCAGATTGTGTTGACATTCCTCCCTCCAACCTCACTCTGTGATATCCCTGTATTGTTTGAGTCATGAAGTAGCTGGCAGTCGTCATAGATCAGATGCTGTGTGTTCAAAGGTCCTATGGAATTTAGGGTGCTCAGCAGATGTTCTGTTCTCCTTAGCCTTATGCCAAGGCAGCTTTTTTTAGTGGAAACAACTGAAAGGTTTATCATCATAAGTTTCATTTGTAAGAGAAAAGAAACCTCACATGGGATTAATGATCTGTTGGCACTGAACAAGCATGTGAGAGAGATTATAGTTTCAGTAAACAAAGCAGAGATAAAAGAGTGGAAAGCTTGAAGAGATGAAATGATTTATGTATAATAATCCCGGAAGACAGTGTCATAATGAGGAAAAGACTGAAACTGGTCACATACCAGGAAAAGCCTTAGGCAGTGGACCATAATCCTCCTCGAAAGATTCCTAAAATCTCTGTTTTCTTTGCTTAATGTTTATTAGAAAGACATTCTACTTTCTAACAAGACAAAGATCCTGTAATTTTTCTCACTAGACCCTTGAGACCTTTCCCCACTCCCAGATGAAAACGTGTTCATTAACTCGTGACGATAACAAAATATCATTGCAATGCAGGTGCAGTTATTGATCAAGATGCATTGGTAGAAGCTCTCCAGAATAAAGTTATTAGGGCTGCCGCTCTGGACGTGACATACCCTGAGCCTCTGCCAAGGTAAAGAAACCTGTTTTCCATTCTGTTAATCTGGAACGTTTTAAACTGTGTGCAAAAGTGTGCTCATAATCTTGATCTCCGTGGGGAGTCTCTGCCTGTTTAAGGGCAAAACTTCAGCCTGTCTCTCACAATCATAAGTAAATGTCAGACTATACGCCTTTCCCACTTCTGTTAGTTTTTGCCAGCCTACCTGACTGGCAAGGCAGTGAGACAAATAGAGAGCAAGAAGAAATGGTAAGCAAGCTCCCCACAGCTTTCTGCTGGTTCTGTGCTTGCGGCCCTTTTATCTCAACATGCCATTGCTGTTTCCTGAGGTTGAGTTCTTAATAGCTAGGATGGGATAGCTGCAGAGTAAATTCCCTGTGTAATATATCCTGTTCTTTCTGTTTCTTACAGAGATCATCCTTTATTAAAATTAAACAACATCATCATAACCCCTCACATTGGAACCGCAACAGTCCAGGCTCTCCATATGATGGCAGAAGAAGCAATAGCAAATATGCTGGCTGTTCTCAATGGCCAACCCATTCCAAGTGAAGTGTTTCCCAAATGATGTGTGCCAGATTTTATCATTAAATCTCATATGTAGGGGAGGGCAGTATTTCTTACAGTACAACTTTTAAACTAAAAAGAAAGCAACCTGTTCCTGCACTGCTCTTGTTGTCATGGTACTGCAAAGCTGTCATCTCACTAGACTTGATCTCTACTGTTATTTACAATTCTGAAAAATAAAGTGGAACTGATGATAGAATCATAGCATGGTTTGGGTTGAAAGGGAAAGGGAACTAGATGACCTGTATAGATCATCTAGTTCCAACACCCCTGCCATGGGGAAGGACATCTTCCACTGGACCAGGTTGCTCAAAGCCCCGTCCAACCTGGCCTTGAACACTTCCCGGAAGGTGGCATCCACAACTGCTCTGGGCAACCTGTTCGAGAGCCTCACCACCCTCACGGTGTAATAAATGTATACATATAAAATTTATTCTCAAACCGGCTGATGGAGAAAGAGGAGAAGCCCTGTGATGAATGAGTTAACTTTGTTCATGAAATCGCATGTGGGTGTTAGAGTTTCTTTTGCAACTTAAGCTGGAGCTGCAGACATCCCCAGGAGTGAACAACCACTTGCTGATAAGTAAGGGAATGGCCCATCTGCTGATAAGCAAAAGAATGGCTTGGGGGATGAACGAGCAGACAGCAGGACGCCTGAGAAAGACTTCGGCCTTCATCC